ACAGGAAATATTGACATCATCGTCTAAAATGAGATTGCTTCCTAGCAACGCAAGGCCACCCATTCAGGTCAAACAGACAATCTCACAAATGGGTGGGCCCCAACTGAAGCAACATAAGGGGGCGGAGCCACCCTTGGGCTAGGGTGGGCTCCAACCCCATGTCCATTAAAAAAAAAAATACTAAGTTTAATTTTTTAGAAATTTTATAAATAGCCCAATGTAATTTTTTATTTAGCCCCATCTAATTTCAGACTGGATATCCAGGTCAAATTTGTTCATCTAACATGGATGAATGGTGGATAAGTGATGATCGTAGTGAAAGGAAAGAAGACATATTTATTGTCAAATGATAATTGTGCCCTTACTAAACTTTTATCATAATGTGGCCCAACACTCTCTTGCCTTTTAAATTCTTAATGGGTTGAGTTGACAAGTGTCAAATGAGCTGGATAATTAAGTTTGATACACAGTTCATGTGGCTATTTAATTGGGTTTGTTCATTGCACAGTCCGTTAATCATTTTCGTTTGGTTTTTTTAATTTGGTCTCATTTCATACACATGAAAAAACTTCACCTCTATTTGTTTGATCGACAAGTTCGATTAGCTGTTTGAGTTTGGCTTGTTTAAATATATAAACGAGTCGAGATTAAGTTTTCACAATTCGAACCAAAATATGTTAACAGATAATTCGTTTCTAGTCATGGCCAAAACCAGAACTCGCCGGTCTCGGTTCGAGGGTTGGAAGCCCTAAACAGGCCGAACATATGCACGGCCGGTTCATTAAATTGTCGATTCGTGGCCGCCAATTCATTAAAAAAATTAAAAAATAATATATATTATAAAAAACGTCGAACCTCTGGTTCTGGTTCCAGTTCGAAACCGAAACCAAAACCACCATTTCGAAATGTATAAATTATAAAGTATTGAACATGACCGGTCAAAACCACGGGCCGGTTTGTTCTGAACCGGCGGCCCGGCTCGGCACGGCACATGACCATGTCTACTCGGTTCCAATAATAGCTACAATAATATGCAACCCCGGGTTAAAAAAAAAAAAATTAGCTACGCCCCTGGTAGCGATACATAAATTCCCTTGTATAACAGCAGCTTTGATGTTATCAGCACATATGTCATGACATATGTCATGAGGTCATATATAATTGCAATAAATTTTCAGTTAGAGCATGAAGGAGGAAAAAGAAATAACCAAAAGATATATCCTTTTAATAATATGACCGGATCTTATTGGGCGTCTGCGCAACCTCTACAAATGGACAAGGCCAGAACATGAAAAACTACATTGCCTTAATCCATGTTGGGTGTTTAATATCCATTTTCTAATTACTTCAAATTTTCTAATTATTGGGGTAGGCATGGTTTTACTGGAGAGGGGTCATAGTTATACCATCCAACTATTTTGACAATGTTGTTTGCATACCAGTCCAATTGTCAGGAAAATAAATAAATAAATACCACATAAAGAAAGCATGTGAAGCAAAAATTCTGCTATGGGAAACAATTGCTAGACAGATATATAACAGTACCCATAGAAAAGATAATGCCTCAGCAGCTCCTTAAACTATAGGGGAAAAATAAGTAAATAAAGTAAGATCCTGCCATATAAAACACACAATTGAGCACAATCACGGTTCATGTCATCAAATATATTGCTAGAACAAGTGCACCAAATACAAGAACTACTTCACGTGCATGTAATGACAGGTCTACGAATAACATTCTCAATCTATGCAACATTTCAAGACAAGTTCCTCTAAACAAACCTGGCAGAGAACATCCATGGTGCTTTGTCCACCACTCTCGGCCAACAACTTCACTCTGAATTTCTGTACCCCACCCTTCGCATCCTGCTGTGTGTCTGCCGTTGGAACCGCCCTCACTACCTTCAGACCAGAATTCGATGATGGTCTTTCTTTCCCTGACGAAGAAGAATATCCAATTGGCCTACCAAAATCGTCAAAACCAGACCAAGTTGAAGACTTTGGAGCCGTTCCCCGAGCTCCATACGGCTCACTACTTCCCCTGTAAGCATAAACCCCTTCATTATTCCCATACAGGCTGTCGTTCGCATACCCACTATCCGCCCGTTTGCCATACAATTCGGCTCCCACATCCGACCTGCTCCGCCCAAAGTTCACATCATGATTATCGTACTGTGTCTCGTAAAGAGATTTACTGAACTGAGGGTACTGAGGAGTGGGGTGGATAGATGGGTAAGGCGAATTGGGGGAAACGGGATTAGGGTTGATGTTGGAGGCGTAATCAGGCGCAGGCTGATCGTAAGATGGGTGATAGGACGGCGATTGGGTTTGGGCTGGGGGTTGGTGGGGCCCGTGGACTTCGAATTGCGGGAAAGAATAGGCCGACTGAGGCTGAGAATACGAAGGCGGCGGCGGCGCCGGGAGAGGATCCGAAGCTTGGGGGAAGGATGGGTAGGAAGCTGTATTGTGGTGGTACGCGGCCGAATGATCGGCGGGTGGAGGCGGCGGTGGAGGGGTGTATGCGTTGGCGGAGAACGGCGGGGCTGATGCGTAAGACGGCGGCGCGTGGTAGAGGGATTCGATCGGGTTCTGGTTCGGACCCGGGACCGGATTTTGATTCGGATTCTGGGTCTGCGGATAGGGTTGCTGAGGGTAGTAGGGGACTGAGGTGTAGTCAGCGTTTTGCATTGTCTTGATGATCGGGAAAGGAATATTCCGGCGACGAATTCAACCGATTGAATTTTCTCGGCGGCAATTGGAGATTTGACTGCACTATTGCTGGGAGAACAGAGAGCTACCAAAGGTGAAGCAGATGAGGTGAGAAGGTGATGAAAGGAGAAGACGGCTTTTTAGACTACAAAAAATATGCTTTTGCAAACACGCTTTTAATTATATTTTGCATTAATTGATAAGGATAATGTTCTCTTACCCTCGGCACACGTTAATAGGGTACGGGGGCTGCAGTTAGTCACTTACTGCAGCCCATACAGTTATATTTATCACCCTTGGATTGAGTACAATTATAAATACATCCAAGGGTCTCACACGGGTAAATTGCGCCAAACCCCCCTGTATTATACGAAATCTGCACTTTATCCCCCTGTATTTTAAAAGATGCGTCATACACCCTTGTATTATACTTTTGATTGCGCACGCTCCCCTCTCCTCATATAATACAAGGGGATATGACGCATTTTTAGGGAATAACGCGCAATCAAAAGTATAATACAAGGAGGTATGACGCATTTTTTAAAATACAAGGAGATAAGACGCAGATTTCGTATAATACATTGGGGTTTGGCGCAATTTACCCGGTCTCACACACTTCCCTTTCTTACACTGCTTTTTACTTCTTTTTTTTTCATTTTCTCTCTCCTAATATAAACCCGTCTTTTTTTGCATAGGATTTCAATATCATCATTTTCTCTCTCCTTATACATAAATGGGTCCTTTTTTGATCATAAATTAATTAAAAGATAAACTCAGCTTTTTTTTTGTGCAAAGGTAATAAATATTTATTTTTTATATGTGAAAAAGTCGATT